AGGGTTCATGACACTAAAAAAATAAGTTTTGGCTGGGTGCAGTGGCCCACACCTGTAATCTCAGTACTTTGGAGGCCAAGGCAGGTGGATCATTTGAGTTCCGGAGTTCAAAACCAGCTTGGCCAACATGGTGAGACCCTGTCTCTACAAAAAATACAAAAATTAGCCAGGCATGGTGGTGGGCACCTATAATCCCAGCTACTCAGGAGGCTGAGGTAGGAGAATCACTTGAACCTAGGAGACGGAGGTTGCAGTGAGCCAAGACCACATCACTGAACTCCAGCCTGAGCGACACAGCGAGACTGCATCTCAAAAATTAATAATAATAATTTAATTTTAAAAAGCACTGCTCCCCTTTGAAGGACGTAAAGAAACCAATTCATTTCTGTAAAAACAGGAAAATAAGGGGAAAAAAATCCTGTCTTTCTACAGGAATCACATCACAAGTAACCAAACAGTTGGTGACACTGTTTTGTAGATGTTTTCCATCTAACAAATGTGGATGGAATGAAGTAATAAGAATATCTTTATTTTGCAAACCCAAATTAATTTTAGGATCTAGGCAATGGTCATCAGTGGCAACTAACATCACAGAAGGTAAAAACAAGGTATTAGTGCCTCATGATAGAAGTACAATACTTCTGAGACAATGTTGCTCTCCCTCTGCCCCCAGCCCAAAATAATGCAATCATAATTCTGACAAATCATCTAATCTCACTATCAGTTTTTAGGAAATAGAAGGGACACATTAAACATATTAAATGGCACCATAAGGATGCAGTCAGCAAAGTCCAAACAGTGAAAAACCACGTAATTGATCCTGTTTCTTCAATAAGTAATTTTCGAAGGGAAAGAGAAAGAAAGAGGGAAAGATACTGTAAAATTTAAGAGACAAAGCAACCAAAACAAGGATCTTAATTTCGATTCTGAGTCAAACACACTGTGGGGTAAGAATGAAGAAGCATTAATGAGACAATCAGGGAAATCTGAACACTGATTAAACTATCCAATAATACTAAGAAATGACTGTTAATTATATTTAGGTGTGACAATGATGCAGCCGTATGGCCTTTGTTCTACAAAAATGACTTTTTCCTTTAGAGATATACATTTATGAATTAAATAGTGATGTCTGGGATTGCTTCAAAATAATAGATAAAACAAAACCGGCCTTGAGTCAGTAATTGTACTTGGGAACTGTTGTCTCTATACCTATCTCTCTGTACTTCAAAATATGCTTGAAATTTTCATGATGAAAAGCTTAAAAAGTAGCTAGTATTTTCGAACTATATAATATCTGCTCTCCCTATTGCAGCAGAAGATGCCAAAGATTTATCCTCTGGAGAAGTTAAAAGAGAGGGTCTCTGATATAAAGAACACAACAACAGTTAACTGTAAGATAATCATGAAAATGGGAATTAATTGAAAGTTTACTTAATAAATGTTGAAAGTCTTTTACAACCTCCTTTTCCAACTTGACTTCACCAGGGTTAGCAGGCAGAAGACTACCCTTTGGGCCAGAAATTGAAATAATCCTCGCCAAATAATCTGATGAACACAAGAGGAAAAATCTAAAGAGACTGACATCAGGAATTCCTACTAACAGCCCAGCCATTCACCCTACGGTGAAGACACCAAGAAACAGTACCAGCATGTACTCCACTCTTAAATATTAGGCAAGAATCATCTGACATTTGAGCTGTTACAATAATTAATTGGAAGGCCATCAATCTAAGATGGTTCCAGCATCCTGGGTTCCTACTTACACATGCCAAAACTCAACTCAATGTAAACTGTCATAGTCTAGGCCAATTAAAAACTGTCAACTGCACCTCACTAGGGACTTTCCACCACTTAAGCTTAACCAATCAGAAACTGCCAACTAACCCTTCACTAGAGACTTCCCACGAATCAATTATTTGCCTTGCTTCCTTGTTCACCCTAGAAAAGGCTTCCCCTCATGACCTTTTTGTGAAGGCCTGAACTGATTGCATTCTGACTCTGCATAATTCACGAATTGTCAAACTCATGCTCAAACTCTAAAATTCTAATAAATCTCAGTTTATCTTTTAACAAAGCAATGCATATGTTTATAAAAAAAACACAGGTTTAAAATACAGGGAGGAAAGAAAAGGAAGAGGAAAGGATGGGGGAAGGGGAGAGGAAAGGAAAAGAAACAAAAACAAACTGACTCAAGAAGAATAAAATTTCAAAGCAATTACAATACCCTCAGAAAGATGGGAAAATATTGTATTGATGAAACAAGAACAGGATACTAGCAAAAAAAAGGAATAATCAGACAGCAAAAATTTTAGAAATAAAAAGATAGAAATGAAACAACTAACCAGAAGATTTCTGGTTGAATATTAAAATTGAAGAAATGTTGCAGAAAACAGATTAAGTAACAAGAGAGGTGGAAAATGAGGGAAGTATAGGAAAATTAGCTCCTGATATTCAATATCTGAATAAAAATAGTTCAAGGAAATCAGAAAACAGAAAATGAAATCATTAAAGAACTCATTCAAAGAAATTTTCCTAAACAAAACAACATGAGTTTTTAGATTGGAAGTTGTCCATTAAGTAACCTGCACAAATGATGAAAATAGAGCCTCCCTAGAGCATACTGTTACATTTCAGAACATTGGAGACAAAGAAGATTCTATAAGCTTCCAGAACTAAGGTTTTCATATAAAGGATCAAGATTTAAAATTGCATCAGAAATCTCAACAGCAAAAAGAGAACAGGACAATGGCTAAATAAGTTCCTCCAAAATTGAGAGGGGAAAATTATTCCCAACCTCGAGTACTATAACCATTCAAACTATTCATCTCTCGTTAGAGTAAAATAAAGACATTCTGAGACATACAAGGTTTTAAGGTTTTTCTTCTCATGCTCCCTTTCTCACAAAACTGCTGAAGAATATGTAACTCAAAAACAATAAAGAAAATATGGGATACCAAAAATACTGAATTAAATATAAGGTCATGAAAGGTATTCCTTGCCTGACGGAAAATAAAGATCTTAGGACAATAGCTGTGGAAATAATTCATTCAAATTGGAGCAGATCAGAAGGCTCCAGCCCAGAGAGATTTCTTCAAGAAGACAAATTTGTTCAAATGCCTCTTGTGTTTGAACATATTAATATGAGTTTAACACAACTGGGGAGATTTGGAAAATTTGATTCATAATATACTCCTCATCTCCAATTGTCTCTTCCTGTCATCTTTTAAATGCATACCAAACAGACTTTCACCCCACCGCTCCACCAAATCTGATCCCATCAAGGCCATTCATAAGCTCCATACTGCTAAATCCAATATTCAATCCTCAGTTCTCAAATTAACTTAATCCATTAGCTGCATCTTATAGGCTGATCACTCCCTCCTCAAAACATAGTTTCACTTGGCTTCCAGGACACCAAGCTTTCCTGGTTTTCCTCCTACATCACTGCTTGGTCTTTCTCAGTTTCTTTTGCTGAATCCTCATTTCCCCAATCTCTTTCCATATGAGTATTCCAGGTTTCAGTCCTTGGGCCCCTTTACCATTTATACTCCATTCATTTGTGTTTATTCACTTTATATGAATCTATAAATGCCTATCTCTAGCCTTGGCGTCTCCCTAAACTCCAGATTGCTATATCCAACCTCTTCCCTTAGGTGTCTAATAAATATCTTAAGCTTAACATGTCCAAAATGAAGCTCCAGATCTCTTTATCGTACAAAAAACATCTGCTCCCCTGGCAGTCTTTGCACCATTTTAGTTAGCTAAAAGTCCATTCCTCCAATTGTTCATACCAAAAACCTTGGAGTCGCCACTGACCCCTCTTTTGCTCTCACACACCATATCCAATCCATCAGAAAATCCTGTTGGTTCTACGTTTAAAAATTTTTCCAATTAGTTAATATGGTAGCTAAAAAAAAAAAAAAAAAAAAAATTTCCCAGAACCTGACCACTTTTCGCCAATGCCACTGCTTATTACCACCCTTGTCCAAGTCATGATCCTATCTTGTGTAAGTTCTGTCTTAGCCTACCAACAGGCTCCTTATTCTGCCAATGCCTTCTCCCGTCTATTCTCCAAGCAGAAGCCAGAGAAATCCTTTTAAACCCTAAGTCAGATAAAGTCACTCCTCTGCTTAGAAGACTATAAAGAATTCTCATCTAGCTGCAAATGAAAGCCAACATCGTGACAATAGCCTCCTATGGTCTTACCCAATCTAACCCTTGGTCCTCCTCACTTGCTCCAGACACACTGCCTCTGTCTACTCAAGAACACAAGGCAGGATCCCACCTCAAGCCATTGCACTTATGAATCCCACTGATGAGAACACCCTTACCCCCAGATTATCTGCGTGACTCTTTCACAGCCTTCAAGCTTTTACTTAAATATCATCTTCTTGATGAAGTCCTCCCTAATGATCCTATTTGAAATTATAACCTCATCCTACTTCCAATATTCCTTTTTCTTATTTCTTGCTTTATTATTCTCCACAGAACTTAATGACATCTAACATATTATGTACTTTATTTATTTAGTTTACTGTACATCTCCCCCCCTTACACTTTAGGAGAACAAGGAAAATTTTAATCTGCTTGTTCACAGCTATATGCCTAACACAGAAGTTCAACATACTTTTAATGAATGTATAAAAAGGTATATAGAAAACTAAATAAAAAATAAATTATTTCTTAACACCAGGGGGAAAATATGAGCAAGAAAGGAAAAGTAATGACTTACGACATAGCTGAGCTATGAAAAGCATTTACACAGTCATAATAAATGCTGATTTATTTATTATTTACTCAGCGGTTCTCAAACCGGGCTGCACATTAGAAGCAAATGAAAACTTTTTTAAAAAACATAGATACCCAAGGTCCTCCCTAAAACACATGAAGCAGAATCTGTGAGGTTGAGTCTTAGGTACCTAGATTTGTTCACTCAAGTTTCCTAGTGATTCTAACGTACAGCCAGAACTGAGAAGCACTCATCTGACCAAAATTACAATAAAACTACAGTGCGAGGCTAGGAGATCAGAAATACACAGGTAGGTGTTAGAGGCAAGAGGTATTACTTAAATTTTAAACTTCAGTAAGTAAAAATCAATAGATAATTGCTAAAATTGAAAAATCAGTAACATTATAATTCAAACAGAACAAGCAACAAGGGTTGAAAAATGTTTGCTCCTGGGAGAAAGTAAGGATTAGGGCTGACTCATGAAGGTCCTGGAGAAATGGGGAAACCAGTCGTCATTCCTAAAGAGGATCAAGAAAAGATGAAAGAGATGTTTAAAATCAATCAGTTCAATTTAATGGCAAGTGAGATGATTGCACTCAACAGATCTTTACCAGATGTTAGGTTAGAAGGGTGTAAAACAAAGGTGTATCCAGATAATCTTCCTACAACAAGTGTGGTGATTGTTTTCCACAATGAGGCTTGAAGCACACTTCTGCGAACTGTCCATAGTGTCATTAATCGCTCACCAAGAAACATGATAGAAGAAATTGTTCTAGTAGACAATGCCAGTGAAAGAGACTTTTTGAAAAGGCCTTTAGAGAGTTATGTGAAAAAACTAAAAGTACCAGTTCATGTAATTTGAATGGAACAACGTTCTGGATTGATCAGAGCTAGATTAAAAGGAGCTGCTGTTTCTAAAGGCCAAGTGATCACCTTCCTGGATGCTCATTGTGAGTGTACAGTGGGATGGCTAGAGCCTCTCTTGGCCAGGATCAAACATGACAGGAAAACAGTGGTGTGTCCTATCATTGATGTGATCAGCGATGATACTTTTGAGTACATGGCAGGCTCTGATATGACCTATGGCGGGTTCAACTGGACGCTCAATTTTCGCTGGTATCCTGTTCCCCAAAGAGAAATGGACAGAAGGAAAAGTGATCGGACTCTTCCTGTCAGAACACCTACCATGGCAGGAGGCCTTTATTCGATACAGATTACTTTCAGAAAATTGGAACATATGATGCTGGAATGGACATTTGGGGAGGAGAAAACCTAGAAATTTTGTTTAGGATTTGGCAGTGTGGAGGAACTTTGGAAATTGTTACATGCTCACATGTTGGATATGTGTTTCGGAAAGCGACACCTTACACGTTTCCAGGAGGTACAGGGCAGATTATCAATAAAAATAACAGACGACTTGCAGAAGTGTGGATGGATGAATTCAAGAATTTCTTCTATGTAATTTCTCCAGGTGTTACAAAGGTAGGTTATGGAGATATATCATCAAGAGTTGGTCTAAGACACAAACTACAATGCACACCTTTTTCTTGGTACCTAGAAAATATTTACCCTGATTCTCAAATTCCACGTCACTATTTCTCATTGGGAGAGATACGAAACGTGGAAACAAATCAGTGTCTAGATAACATGGCCAGAAAAGAAAATGAAAAAGTTGGAATTTTTAATTGCCATGGTATGGAGGGTAATCAGGTTTTCTCTTACACTGCCAACAAAGAAATTAGAACAGATGACCTTTGCTTGGATGTCTCCAAACTTAATGGCCCAGTTACAATGCTCAAATGCCACCACCTAAAAGGCAACCAACTGTGGGAGTATGACCCAGTGAAATTAACCCTGCAGCCTGTGAACAGTAATCAGTGCCTGGATAAAGCTACAGAAGAGGATAGCCAGGTGCCCAGCATTAGAGACTGCAATGGAAGTCGGTCCCAGCAGTGGCTTCTTCGAAACATCACCCTGCCAGAAATATTCTGAGACCAAATTTACAAAAAAATGAAAAAAATAAGGATTGACTGGGCTACCTCAGCATACATTTCTGCCACATTCTTAAGTAGCAAAAAAGGAAAAGTGCTTTCCTTCTCCTGGTTGTAAGGTTTATCAGCCATTAAAACTTAAACTTCTCTAGCTTTTCGCTAGCTGTGAACCAGCCTTCCTGTCCACTGACGTGAAACTGCATAGTAATGAGACTGCGCACACTGATGTTTACAAGATTGAGAGTCTTTCTCTGAAAATCATGCTAAAGAATACTGAGACAATGAAAAAAGTCAACAAAATATGCTTTCTGGAGAACTGTACCTTTTATGGTTTGCTCGCACATCAGTAATTTCTGCTGAATGTGCTGCCATAATGAAGAGATTTCCAAGATTTTCTTTCCTGATTAGAACTGGTAGCCAGTATATTAAATATTGATATTGAAATAAATGAACTGGAACCAGACACAGAACCATGAAAACAAGATTTTTACAACAACAACAACAACAAACTATATTAAACAGGGTTTAAAGGAAATTAAAACAGAACTATGAGAAGTACAATTTGTTATAGTATAGTATCAAATTTCTATATAGATTTTATACCTCAGTGGGGAAAAATAACTGATTCCTATGACATTCATTTTATTTTCATCTGTGAGAGTCATGGATGCTTTTATTTTCCTTGGGGTGCTGAAATTGAGCTGAAAAAAAAAACTCTTTGAATATAGTTTTAATTTCTCTCTACAGTTTTTGTTTTGTTTGGTTTCTGGGCTGAAATTTGGAATTGTAATTTTTAATTGCCTTCGGAATTTAACATAATGTCCAGTCTCAACTGAACAAGTGTTTCAGTTGTTCTTGGGTCAACTGGCTTACAGATTTATGAGTGCACATACACACACACAAATTTCTTATCATTTTCAACTTCTTGACCCACCTGATTTTGCTTAATACCCAGGATTCATACTACTGTACCACAGATTTGTTTTCACAGCAATAAATCTTCAGTTCTTTGTTTATGATTCCACTTAAAAAAGAAAAAAAAGGATTAGGGCTGAGGGTGGTTGCTTTTTAAAAGTCAAGTTGAATATTTTACTTTAGACTCCAAATTCATATAATTTTCAATTAATAAACTATAATTTTAATGGTAATGTTGAAGTTGGAACAATTAGCAAAAGAAGAGAAGAAAGAGTGGGTGCTGAGTAACATGTAGGAGGGCTAAAGTCTATAAAGACACAAATTTCCAATAACAGAGTAGCCAAGATTTCCACAGAAGGATGATTAACACTCCATCTTAAACCGGCTGTTGTCAACAAAATAGTATATTGACCTAAGCCTTTGGTTTTAAAAAAAAAAAAAAAAGAAAGAAAGGCAAACTAGGTGGGAAGTGGTGGTGGTAGAAATTTGTGGTAATTTTCCTCAAACCAGGAGCCTATCTCCCTTTAATAAAACAAAGAACAAATCAACCACAATAAGGTTCAACACTATGGAGGTAACAGTCTTAGACTCCTAGCTAGGAACATTTTAGCAGCCATGAATATAACAAATGCAGTTCACTTTGTTTTCTTTTTCCTTACACAAGTGACAAAGTAGAAAAATTTAAATTATGAAATCTCAAATACAGCCTAAAATGTTTTCAAATATAAGTTGAGATAAACTATTTTGGAGTACTCCCTAAACAAGACATAAATAAGAACAAGGAGAGAATCTTCAAGGAAAAGCCCATATGTTAATCCTTTGTTTCTCCCATATTTTGATATAACCTAAATCCAGGTTTCACTTGAAATGATACTTAATGTTTACCCAAAGAGGCTCCCTTGGTTTCACAGTAAAATGATTAGATTATAAAAGTCCTATTTGTTCAGAACTAACTTTTTATCTGAGAGAACATGAGCATATTAGAGCATCTAATCACGATTCTGGGTCCCAAAGGGCCCCCCTGGGAAAGTCCCTACAATATTCCCAAGTAAGCATACACTTTGTAGGAGTTCATTCTTATTTATTTACCATATGGGCAGTTCCAGTTGTGAACTTCTATAAGAAATGTAGTTCCTTTCTTTACTGGGCCAATATATTGACAATTTATTCATAACTAAATTTATTTACTGAGTACAGTAGCATTTCAGGAGGCTGAGGTGAGAGGATTGGTTGAGCCCAGGAATTTGAGACCAGTCTGGGCAAAACAGTAAGACCCCATTGCTACAAAAATCTTTTTTAAAAATTACCCAAGTGTAGTGCCATATGCCTGTGGTCCCAGCTACTAGGGAGGCTGAGGATGGGGGACTGTTTGAGCCTGGGAAGTTGAAGCTGCAGTAAGCCGTGACTGCACCACTACACTCAGCCTGGGTAACAGAGATCGATCCCATCTCTAGAAAAATAAAATAAAATAATAAATGTATTCAATAAATGTTTTCTCTCTTACTTGCAAGATTACTGGTCAGGAATAGGTGACTGTGAAAATAAATAAGAAATTTCAGGATGTTTCAATGGTTTCAAATATCTAAAAAAAAAAAGCATACTTTGGTACTTTAACCATGAAAAAATAAGAATTATCATAAAACGATGTAATTTTCACATCCTTCATTTAACAAGTCTATTGACTAAAGTTTGCTACCTTTCTCAGGGCATGTAGACAAGTTGACAGCCTCTTAGTCTCACCATACAATTACTATTTCTATTACAACAAGAAAATACCTTTTTCCCCTGGGGAAAAAAATGCAGATTTTCACAATACAGTAAACTAATGGTCATCGTCATTAAATGAACATTTACTGAAGTATATCATATAGAGAGATTACTAGGGCCTAAAAATAAAATGAAACACAAAAGCGCTACTCCTGTCTTGAAAAAATAGGGTGTGAATTAAAACATTGTGTGAAGATAGCATATAGTTGAGATAAACTATTTTGAATATATGAATTAAGATAGCATAGACTGCAGGTCTACATTAGCTTATTGGGTAAACTATAAGCTAATCCAACACTATAATTTTTTACCTTTTAGTATTTATTTGTAGAGTTATTAAAACTGATACATAAAAAACTGTTCATATTTGTGGGGTACGCAGTGATGTTGCAATACATATAATGTATAGTGATCAGACTGGGGTAATCAGCATATCCATCATCTCAAACATCTTTCATTTCTTTGTGAACAGTCACTATACTACTTCCAGCTATTTGAAATTATATAGTATTGTTAACTACAGTCATCTTACAGTGCTATAGAACACTAGAATTTGAATAACTTCATTGAAATATAATTCACACACCATAAATTCACCCTTTTATACAACTCAGAGATTTTAGTATATTCACAGAATTGTACATCTATCACTACAATCAGTATTAGAATTTATCACCCCCAAAAGAAGCTCCACATCCATCAGCAGTCATTCACCATTTCCTCCCACCCCAAACTCCTGAAAGCCACTAATCTATGTTCCATCTCTACAAATTTGCCAGTTGTGAACATCTCATATAAACTGAGTTACACAATATGTGCTCTTCTGTGTCTAGCTTCTTTCACCTAGAATGCTGTGTTCAAGGTTCACCTACCTTACAGCAGGTATTAATCAGATACATTAATGTATTAAGATCATTTGTTTTAACCCTTATGCCTAGATGGCTTTATTCATTTTACTAACAAAACAGGAAGTGAAAAATTCAAAGATGATGTTGAGTACATAATCTTTCGAAAATATTTTTCTTATACAAGGATCCATAATTACAATGAGAAAATGATTACAAAATAGTAACAGTAAAACCAGTCTAATCTAGGTCTACTTTATCCTTAATATTCAGATTAGTTTAATCCTTTGAATAATATTCAATCTTGCTAGGACATAGCTAATTACATTAAAGGCTGCAATATGCAGAAACCTTAACATTTATAATAGACAATTCACTATCACAGCAATCCCATAATTTTCATTAGCAGTAATGATTTCTATTTATTAGCAGTAACAATCTTCTGCATGATTCCTGATAACCTGAGTTTCATAAAGCTGTACAAAAAATAAAGATTTGGTCAGTAATTTCACAAAATGAGGCAAGAGGAAGTGAAACAGAACGTATTAATCACTTGAGACACTGCATTCTTCAGTTACAATAAAAAAGATACTGACTTCTCTATTATATTTACCCTTAATTTGCTTGCAAACTTGCAAAACATTGTGTGAAAATCATCAAAACAGGACATCTAATTTGATAAAACATCAGAGTCCAGAGGGATATTTCTTAATAACATGAAGTTTGAACATCCTGAACAATATTCTTCAGTTTTCCTTTCTAGAGCTTGAGCAAAAACTGATATAAAGCACCTACTATACATGCCAAGCACTGCATTATGTACTAGGTATACAAAAAAAACAACAAAATGATTACTGTTCTCAAAGAATTCACAATCTAGTGGATGCAGTAAATATAGCCATCAGAAGAACTAACATTTACTGAGCACCTATCATGAGACTGGCACTATATTAAAAGCTTTAGATGAATTCAACCCAAGCTGTCTGATTCTGGAGTCTGTTATTAATCATATGAAGATGTGATGTGTAGGGTGTTCCAGGCAAAGGAAAGCAAATGAGTGTAAAAGTAGAAAATGGTATGGTGTGAAGGGACCTGTGATGAATTTGGTATAGTGAAAAAAGAATTTAGAGGTAAAAAGTAGCAAGAACTGGGGCTAAAAGTTTAGCAGAGGTCAGATCATAAAGGTTCTGGAATGTCATTCCAATGAAAAATTAAAGAAGATCTAAGTAAAGAGAACTTGAAATGTTCCCAACACATAGAAATGATAAATACTCAAGGTGATACATATCCCAAATACCCTGACTTATTCATTACACATTCTAGGTATGTAACAAAAAATCATATGTACCCGATAAGTATGTAAAATATTATCTATCAATAAATTTTTTTTAAAATAACACCTGAGTAGCTCTTTTTCAAGTAAAATTAAAACGTTCATATTTTCATGATAATGCAAGTAACCAGGACGAGTCTTTTTTCATTATGCCATTCTG